ATCCGATCTCGAATGACCACTCAAAACCCAAAATCAAACTCTTCAAATCCCTAACCTCAAACTCCCAAATTACACCTTAAATATACACTAACTAGGTGAAAAAATAAATGGGGAAGCAATATTATTGATAAAAAATAAGCACAAGGGACTTACCTCACGAAATGCCTCGAAAATGCTCTCAAGAAATCGCCAAACCCGAGCTCAAAATGTTAAAAATGAGCAAAAATTGTGAACCCTTGCATTTAAGTGTTCTGTCCAGAAATCTCGCACCTGCGGAATTTCCATCGCAGGTGCGGAAATGACTTAAAGGGACTGGGTCCGCATCTACGAGCAATGGTCCGCACCTGTGCGCCCGCTCCTGCGGAATACTTCCGCTTCTACGATCCCTCACGCCCTAGCCCCTTCCGCTTCTGCGCTCCATCTTCCGCATCTGTGGATGCACATATGCGGTTATACCTCCGCACCTGCCACCTCTAGCCTCTTCCTTCCAAACCGCTCCTGCGTCCATTGGCTCGCACCTGCGGGCAATGTTGCGCATGTGCGATTACACCAGGTGCATCAGCTTCAGCTATTCTTCCAAAATCAAATTTGATCTGTTAACCATCTGAAATCAACCCGAGGCCCTCGGACCTCCACCAAACACACCATTAAGTCTCATAACATTATACGAACTTAATCGAATCTTCAAATCACCTCCAACAACATTGAAAACACAAATTACACACAGATTCAAGCCTAAGAAACTTTGAAATTTCCAAATTCTACAAAAGACGCCGAAACCTATCAAATCACGTCCGATTGACCTCAAATTTTATTCACAAGTCATAAATGACATTACGGACCTACTGCAACTTTCGGAATCAGAATCCGACCTTGATATTAAAAAGTCCACTTCCGGTCAAAATCTCCAAAAATTTGACTTTCGCCATTTCAAACCTAAATCAGCTACAGACCTCAAATTCATAGTCCGAACACGCTTCTAATTCCAAAATCACCCAACAGAGCTAACGGGACTGACGGAACTCCATTTCGAAGTAGTCTTCACACAATTCCGACTACGTTTAAAATCCTAAGACTTAAGCTTCCGTTTTACGGCTAAGTGTCCCAAAACATTCCGAAACCAAAAACAAAACCTCCCGGCAAGTCACATAAGCAGAAAAAGATACGGGGAAGCAGTTAATAGGGGATCGGGGATATTACTCTCAAAACGACTGGCTGGATCATTACAATTAGCCCCGATCCCTATTTTTTACCTTCTTTGTGTTATACTGTGGTTACGAGACTTGCCAGGATGTTTGGTTTTGGTTTCGGGTGAGTTTCGGAGTGAAATGAGACCACATAATCCCTGAATTAGAAGTTTAAGTCGTAGGAGTTGACCATAGTCTAACTTGTGTGAAGACGACTCCGGAATGGAGTTTTGACGGTTAGGGTAATTTTGGTCTTAGGAGCATGTCCACATGTTGATTGGAGGCCCGTAGGTCGTTTTAGTGTTAATTGGCGAAAGTTGGAAAGTTGAAAGATTTTGGAAAGTTTGACCGGGAGTGAAATTTTTGATATCGGGGTCGGATTCTGATTCCGAAAGTTGGAGTAAGTCCGTAATGTCATTTATGACTTGTATGCAAAATTTGAGGTCAATCAGACTTGATTTGATAGGGTTCGGTATCGAATGCAGAAGTTAAAAGTCTATGAGTTCATTAGGCTTGATTTGGGGTGCGATTCGTGTTTTTGATGTGATTTGAGGCCTCGACTAAGTTCGTATCGTATTAGGACTTATTGATTTATTTGGTCGGGGCCTCCGGGTGTGATTCAGATCGAAAAGGGGAAATTTCATTTTCATTTTGGGAAAAGGGGAAGAATCGAGGGTTTGATTTCATTTTCATTTTGGGACTTTGAGAGCTCGGATTGAGGCGAGATTTTGAGAAAATTTTAGATGAAGTATTGGGGTAAGGATTCTTGAATCGTTTTTGATTAATCCCTATGTATCTACTATTAATTACATATTTTAATTATGGTTTTGGAGTTTAAAATTTGGGAGAAAAGTATAGAAGTTCTTAGACCAAGTTTTTGGGTTTTGAAAGGCTAAATGAGGTCGGATTTGGATAATTCTTGTATGATTGGACTCGATATTGAATGGGTGTTTAGATTTTATAATTTTGATCGGGTTCCGAGACGTGGGCCCGTGTCGACTTTTTGGAGTGATTTTTTCTATTCTTGCAAAAATCATTATTTCATTATTTAAACTAGTTTTCTATAGTTATATTTATAGTATAAAATTATTTTGGCTAGATTCGAGCAGTTCGAAGTTGGAAAATCGAGGAAAAGGCCTTATAATTGATTGATTGAGCGTGGTTTGAGGTAAGTGACTTGTCTAACCTTGTGTGGGGGAAATTCCCCTTAGGATTTGGTACTGTGGTGATAATTTATGATATGTGAAGGCCGTGTACGCGAGGTGACGAGTGCGTACACGGGCTAAATATTAAAATTTCAGTTTTTGCTATGTAGTTTCCTTTTCATGCCTTAATTGAGTTACTTCAGCATGTTGTAGTCATCATGTTTAGCCTAATTTCACGTGTCTACTTATATGGAGACTTCAAGGTACACATGCCCGCGTCCGCAGGCCTCAGAGTCCCCTTCTATCCTGTTCTTTTCTTGTTCCTTTATATTTTGTAGTCAGTGATGTATATGAGTGTTCAGTTCTGTATCTAGAGCTTGTGACTTATGCTTCACCGGGTTTTGGGAGATGTACGTGTTGGGTTGTAGATTTTCTTTATATATATAGTTGTGGATATTTTTTGAGATTTAAATTATTATTATTTCAGTTATTTCGCATGTTTTGTTAGGCTTACCTAGTCTTAGAGACTAGGTGCCATAATGACATCCTACAAAGGGAGATTGGAGCCGTGACAATATTTGGAGCTGATTTGAGGTGATTGAGAACAATATTTTCAGTTGAAAATCGAATAAGAACACCGTTACCCAATAATATACCGCTACGGTATATAATATATTATAGGAGTATATAGCTATACTGTAATAATATATTGTTATAGTATACAATATACTGCAACGGTATACTATAATAATCGAAGAAGAACACAGTTACCTAACAGTATATATCGCTACGATATATAATATAATATAATAGTATATTATAATAATATGCAATATACTGTAATAGTATGTTGTAATAATATACAATATACCATAATAGTTTACTTCGACTGCTATTTTGTTGAATCATTTAGGTGCTATTGTGTAAAGCTAAAGTCATGGTTATAGTAATATTATACTGTTATAATATACAATATAATATAACAGTAAACAGTAATAAATAAGCCATTTTTTAATTTTTTTCAACTAGGTCCTTGCAAATATTTTCTTAAATGAATTTTTTGATGGAGTTCCATGAAAATAATAGGGAAAATCTCACTTTATAATTGTTTTGATTCGATTGTTACTGAGTCGTGTTCGAAATGTTGATTGAAGGCTATGGCTAAATTTTCAGTAAATTTGGTGGAGATTTTTGGAGTAGATTTTTGGAATTTTGGTCAAAATTAAGTAGAACTAGCAAAGAAGACAAAGTTGTATTGTATACCAACATGTTATATTATATGTTATATTGGTATATAATAATTAATTATAATAATATACTGCTAATTTTCTTGAAAGAATGAACTAGTACTACATGATACCCTAGCATCATATGATATATACTATATGGATATCATAGAGGACTAATGATTTTTTTTTTGAAAAATAAACCAGTCCTCTATGATACCATGCCAGTATATGATATATACCAGGTTGGTATCATAGAGGACTGAGTGTCTTTCTGAAAGGAATGAACTAGACCTCTATGATACCCTATCTGTATATGATATATACCATATGGGTATCATAGAGGACTTAGTGTGTTGTTGGAAGGAATGAACCATACCTCTATGATACTATGTTAGTATATGATATATACCATGTGGGGTATCATAGATGACTGATGAGTATTTTGTTTGTTGAAGAAATGACTAGTCCTCTATGATACCCTGTCAATATATGATATATAACATATGGGTATCATAGTATATTGCAATAATATACTTCAACTACTACTAATATATTATTTTTGGTATACTATATGTACAATAAGTTATTTTCTAATAATTAATATATATAAAAATAAAACAAATAAAAAAAATATACTATATAAGTTAACTTTTGTTGATATAATGAAAAAAATAGAGAAAAAAAATAAAAAGGAACAAAAATAAAGGAGCAAAAAAGAAGTGCATAATTACATTATGAAAAAAAAATTTAAAAGAAAAAATAATTTGAAAATAATAATAAATGAAATTAGAAAAAAAAAGAAAAAAAAGGAAACAAAGAGAAGAGAAAACATGTATAATGTATAAGTTGTTCTTATAACTGATCTACAGAAAAAAAGAGAGAAAAAGTAAGACAAAGATATATTATATCAGTTATATTAAAAAAAGGTGAACGGATATTTATTATATTAGTCTATCTTTTTATTATTGCACGGGAAAAAAAGAAAGAAGAATAAAGAAAAGAAGCAAAAAAAAGAAAATAAAAGGAAAAAAGGATTTAAATGAAATTAGAAAAGGAACAAGAAATAAAGAAAATGAACAAAAGGAAAAAAAGGAGCCAAAATTGAGCATGGAATTATATTATGGTAGAAAAAGAAAATAAAAAATAATATGATTGGAAAATAAACATAAAAGGAGAAAAAAGCAAAGAATGAAGAAAAACGATAAATAAGAAAAGGAGAAAAATGAAGTAATTAGCCACAAAAGCTACGTGTACAAAAGATAATTAGTTTGATTGATAGGAAAATAAAGGGGAAGAGAAGAGAAGGGTATTTATTTTGATTAAGCAACTCACTTAAAGATAAGATTGACGTGATTACGGGCTTAGGGTAGCGGCAGGCCCATGGATACAATCAGCACTTCGGCCTTAAGGGGTACTTGGTATGTAGCTCGCTGTTGGGCAGTGGGCGCTGTTCTATCTTTCGAGTCATGTCCTAAAAGATATCCTTCCAAATCAAAAACTATCCCTCTCTTCCAATCAAAACTTAATACTACTCTATATAATAAAAATACCACTTGATCAGTCTTTCTAGAAAACCCTAAAACATGTCGGGCGGGTTTTTCCGGGTAAGTTTTCCTCTTGATTCTCCATTCGTCTTTGTAGATCCAAGCTCCAATTTCGCTTTTATGGCTGATGAATGATAGATTCAAAATTGTTTTAATTTAGGGCACGTCGGCCGAGCAGGACACTCGGTTCTCTAATAAGCAAGCCAAGCTGTTGAAATCTCAGAAGTTCGCTCCTGAATTGGAACATCTGGTGAGTTCGTTTTGTAGGAGTTATTTGTTTAGGTGGAAAGGCTTTCTTCATTTTCTTCTTAGTTTTGAATTTCTGGAATAGAAGATCCCCTTCATACTTGTTTGATTATGTGTGTCTCAAATCTATTATGTGATAGGTGGACATGACCAAGGTGAAGATGGATGTAATGAAACCATGGATTGCCAAACGAGTTACCGAGCTTATTGGTTTTGAAGATGAAGTTCTTATCAATTTCATTTATGGCCTTCTTGAACGAAAGGTGGAATATACATTATACTTGTTTGCTTGATTTAACTATGTTTTGCTAACATTCGGATTTTAATAATTAACACTCAGATTTTACTTTTCAACATTTTTTTTTTCAAGAAAGAAGTAACATTAAACTGGTGATGGATTTCAGGTAGTTAACGGCAAGGAGGTTCAAATTTCACTTACTGGATTCATGGAAAGAAACACTGGCAAATTTATGAAAGAGCTTTGGGCGCTACTACTTAGTGCACAGAACAATGCAAGCGGTGTTCCTCAGCAGTTCCTAGAAGCCAAAGAAGAGGAAATGAGAAAGAAGAAGGTGTTTCTCGCTGTTTTTTTTGTTGCTTTGTGGTCTTAAAAGTACCTCTTGTTAGTAGCCTTTTTTCTTCATTTTTTCTAGGCTGAGACTGATCGAATTGCCAATGAGATTCAGAAGAAAAAGGAGAGAGAGAGTAGGGAGCTGGATCAAGAGAAAAGGAAGATGATGGTAACTAAAATAATATCCATGAAAGAGTTATTTTATCCAGAGTTGGGTTTTCTTTTTTAACTTTTGTTTGTGTTTCCCTGGTATCAGCCTGCTTCTGCAATTATTTGGGTTCATATCCTTTACCTCAAACTACTGTAGGACGATTATGCCAGCAATTCGAGACAAAAAAATGCTGCACTGGAGCCAAGTCCGAAACACCAGCCTCGGGTGCGCTCGACAGATGATTTAGACCATGTTGACAGAAATGGCTCAAGAAGAATACACAGGTTAGGATTTGAATAAGTTTTTTTTTTTGGTTTGGCAAGTAAAATGATTTAGTAAAGAAGCATCCAGGGGTTGAAACCCATTGAACCAGGGTACATAGCAAATCTGTTACCTGTTACCTGAATGGCTGGATAGCCTTTCGCATCATATACACTCTACGACATAAAATACAGAGTATGAATGCAAAGCAAGACTATCATCCCAATTCAATTTCCTTTCCTGCATTTAATTCCCCATTGCAGCTGACACCATTCTGGCCTTCTTTCTTCTTTCCTGCATTCTTTACTATCCAGTTCTTCACTGGTTTGTAGTGTCGGCCAATTTGTTGAAGTTTGGAGAGTCAAAGTTCATAAGCATCAACATTTATCATATGTAATGAAATCTGTACACAACATTCAACAAGGAATTATATGTTCTCCTCTAATTTCTGAAATAGAATTTAAGCTACTTTCTAAAAATAGTAGCCTAACTCTGACCTATATGACTGGACACGACAACCTCTCAATTGCCAACCAGCCTCAGCAGCACACTAATTCCTCTATGTCTGTGTCCCTTAACTTCTCGGTTGTGTGTCCAGGGTTTCACTCAATCTCTTCCAGGCCGATGAGACTTTGCTCGATCTCTCTTCTCATTGATCTCCTATTGTGTATTGTGTGTGTTTTCAAGCAATATGACTGCTTGCTAAACAAACTGCTGCTGATGAAACACCAAAATTAAAAGGGAAATTCTTTGGTGAGGTCTTGAATGAGACCAAAGGTAAGGAGACCTCTCCCTCCGTAGTGAAAAAAGGGCAAGCAAGCAAGCTAGCTATACATTGAAAGTAAGCGTTTGATGTCACTAATCTACTTATTTCCGTCTTACAGCTTTCTTGTAGTATTGCTCTCATGTTGCCAATATCTACTGGCAATACAATACCTGATTATTATCACCAAACGAGTTAGTAAATAAAATTTTATTTCATTCTTTGCCTACATCATATCGTGTCTTCTCCAGGGTGGGAGTTGAGATTAATAGTGAACAACCAAACAGTTATGCCGCGTGCGGAGTACTTTGTTGATCCTATTTACCTGAAGTCCTTTATTAAGTCCTAGGCACTTCCTATTAATTAGATATGTTAGATAGTTATGTACATAATATGAATTAGTCCTAGTCCCACATAGAATAGAAGTATGATATGTATTGTATAAATAGGGTTCATTGTATTATAATTAAACAGAAAATCAATAATGGATTTTTCTCCCGTGCATTCTCACATGGTATCAGAGTAACCGTGAGAAATTTATCGCTGTGCATAAATTCCATCGACTCCGGGAGGAGAAATCAGTCAACCGGAAGCCCTTTTTCCAGGAAAAATAGGTCTGTCTGCAAGAATAATAATATCCGTCAGTGTTGTGCAAAAACTAACACCACCAGGAAGTAGATGAGCCCGACCAACCCTTAAAAAAATCTTTGGCAGAAAAGGACTCATGCGCCCTCCCCCGCCGCCAGAAGAATTTCTCCGGCGAAGTTCCGACGTCCACGAGCCGGCGCGTGGGGTTGTTTCCGGCCAGATTTTGGCTAAACTTCTTCAGGACAGTCTGTTCTCCTCGCAATTCCGAGCCTATCCATCCAGTTTAAATCAAATTTCGACCACTTTTATACTTTTCCGGCGTGAACAATGATTTTTTCCCCGGCGTGAACATTAATTTCCAGAAAATTTCTGCTTTTTCCGGCGTAAACATTATAATGGCATTCGTATCAGAAGCCTTTGACTCACAATCCGTTGGATCCAATGCATTGAATCCAATCCAGATGGTTTCTTTATTGGATTATATTGAGTTCCTTAAGTACAAAGCATGTAAACAAACATCTTCGAGGATATCTTCCGTTGTTCAAACGGATAGTAGCGTGACTTGTGTCTCCCAATCTTCAATCTCTGAGTCTTGGGTCATTGATTTAGGTGCATCTGATCATATTTCTGGTAACAAATCTTTTTTCACTACTATTTTATATTCTCAATCTCTCCCAACAGTCACAATGGCCAACGAGTCTCAAATCATGGCAACTGGAATAGGTCAAGCAAGTCCACTTCCTTCCTTACCTTTAGATTCAGTTCTGTATGTTCCCGGTAGTCCTTTTAATCTCATAGCCGCTAGTCGCATAGCCAAATCACTTAAATGCTCTGTTTATTTCTTGATGATCTTGTTTTTATACAGGAACGCAGTACAGGGCGGATCATTGGCACCAGACGTGAATCAGATGGACTTGATTACCTTATCCTTGCAAAATCACATGGACTCACATCTTGTCTTCTTTCAACAACTTTTCCTGTTACTGATTCACTAGATTTATTACATAAACAGTTGGGACATCCCAGTTTGTCAAAACTTCAGAAAATGGTACCTGGTTTATCTCACTTGTCCACTCTAGAGTGCGGAGTCATGTCAGCTCGGTAAGCGTACCCGCTCCCATTTCCCTCGGCGTTTTAATAATCGAGCAGAGTAACCTTTTACTTTAGTCCATTCAGATGGTTGGGCTCCTAGTCGGGTCAGTTCTACCTTGGGATTCTGCTACTTTGTCAGTTTCATTGATGATCATTCCAGGTGCACTTGGATATTTTTGATGAAAAATCGATTTGAGTTATTTTCTATTTTTCAGACCTTTCACACCCAAATTCAAAATCAATTTGGGGTTTCTATCCGCACATTTCGTAGTGATAATGCCCTAAAGTATTTGTCTTTCCCATTTCAGCAGTTTATGAATTCTCATGGGATTATTCATCAAACATCTTGTCCGTACACATCCTAACAAAATGGGGTAGCTGAAAGAAAGAATAAATATCTTATTGAAACTGCTCGTACCTTACTCATACCATCTCATGTTCCGTTGCGTTTTTGGGGGATGCAGTTCTTACATCTTGCTTTCTTATTAATCGTATGCTATCTTCAGCTATCCAGAATCAAGTTCCATTCGCTGTCCTGTTTCCTTACTTACCTTTGTTCTCTCTTCCACCCCGTGTCTTTGAGAGCACGTGTTTTGTTCATAACCTTACTCCAGGAAAAGATAAGTTAGCTCCTCGTGCGCTTAAGTGCGTATTTTTGGGTTACTCGAGAAGGGATATCGATGTTATTCTCCTAACCTCCAGCGGCACATGTTACCTTCTTTGAAACCCAATCATACTTCACAGGTCCAGGTAATCACTTAGATATTTCTGAGGTGCTACTAGTCCCATCTTTTGGAGATTCAGTCACTATCTCCCATTCATCTTCCTCTACAACTCCAACTTCACTACCTACAACTCCAGTTGCTACTCCACCACCTATAACTCTAGTTCCACCACCTAGTCCAGTTCAGCCTTCTACAGCTCCACCACTCCTGACTTATCATCGTCGTCCGCGCCCAGCATCAGGCCCAACTGGTTCACGTCCTGCACCTGACCCCGCTAATACTGTGGACTTGTCTCCTCTTAGTCAACCGATTGCACTACGGAAAGGTATACGGTCCACACTTAATCCTAATTCCCATTATGTCGGTTTAAGTTACCATCGTCTGTCATCACCTCATTGTGCATTTGTATCATCTTTGTCCTCTTTTTCCATCCCTAAGTCTACTGGTGAATCGCTGTCTCATCCAAGGTGGCGACAAGCTATGATTGATGAGATGTCTGCTTTACATACGAGTGGTACTTGGGAGCTTGTTCCTCTTCCTTCGGGTAAATCGACTGTTGGTTGTCGTTGGGTGTATGCAGTCAAGATTGGTCCAGATAGCCAGGTTGATCGACTTAAGGCTCGTTTTGTTGTCAAAGGGTATACTCAGATATTTGGGCTCGATTACAGTGATACTTTCTCTCCCGCAGTTAAAGTAGCATCAGTCTGTTTTTTTCTATCCATGGCTGCTGTTTGCCATTGGCCTCTCTATCAGTGGGACATTAAGAATGCTTTTCTTTACGGTGACCTTGAGGATGAGGTTTATATGGAGCATCCACCTGGTTTTGTTGTTCAGGGGGAGTCTAGTGGCCTTGTATGTTGGTTGCGCCGGAACCTCTATGGTCTAAAACAGTCTCCTCGAGCCTGATTTGGTAAGTTCAGCATAGTTATTTAGGAGTTTGACATGACTCATAGTGAAACTGATCACTCTGTGTTTTATTGGCATTCTGCTTCAAATCTCGGTATTTATCTGGCGGTTTATGTTGATGATATTGTTGGTTTATGTTGATGATATTGTTATTACCGGCAATGATCAAGATGGTATTACTAAGTTGAAGCAACATCTCTTTCAGCACTTTCAGACTAAGGATCTGGGCAGATTAAAGTATTTTCTAGGTATTGAGGTTGCTCAGTCTAGCTCAGGTATTGTAATCTCACAACGGCGCCTTAGACATTCTTGAGGAGATAGGAATGACAGGCTGTAGACCTGTTGACAGTCCTATTGATCCGAATTCTAAACTTCTGCCAGGACAGGGGGAGCCGCTTAGCTATCCTGCAAGATATATGCGGCTGATTGGTAAAATAAATTACCTCATATTGACTAGACCTGATATTTCCTTTCCTTTGAGTGTGGTAAGTCAGTTGTTGGATTCTCCCCGTGATAGTCATTGGGATGCAGTTGTCCGCATTCTTCAATATATAAAATCAGCTCCAGGCATAGGATTATTGTTTGAAGATCGAGGCCATGAGCAAATTGTTGGGTACTCAGATGTTGACTGGGTAGGATCACCTTCTGATAGACATTCTACGTCTGGATATTGTGTTTTAGTAGGAGGTAATTTGGTGTCTTGGAAGAGCAAGAAACAGAATGTGGTTGCTCGGTCTAGTGCAGAAGCAGAATATCGAGCAATGGCTGTGGCAACATGTGAGCTAGTTTGGATCAAATATTTGCTTAATGAGTTGAAATTTGGTGAGGTTAGCTAGATGGAACTTGTGTGTGATAATCAAGCTGCCCTTCATATTGCATCAAATTCGGTGTTCCATGAGAGAACTAAACACATTGAGATTGACTCTCACTTCGTCAGAGAAAGATACTCTAAGGAGATATCGCTACAAAGTTTGTGAAGTCGAATGATCAGCTTGCAGAAATTTTCACCAAGTCCCATACTGGTCCTCGTATTAGTTACATATGTAACAAGCTCGGTACATATGATTTGTATATATTGGCTTGAGGGGAAGTGTTAGATAGTTATGTACATAATATGAATTAGTCTTAGCCACATAAAATAGGAGTATGATATGTATTGTATAAATAGGGTTCATTGTATTATAATTAAACAGAAAATCAATAATAGATTTTTCTCCCGTGCATTCTCACGAGATAAAAGATAAGTCTTAAACCTCAAGGAATTCGGAGGTGGGGTGGGTGTCAGATCAGGCCAACGATCCTGCTCCGCTTTATACTAAGAGAGTGTGGTAGGGTTTGACTCCGTTATAGGGCTAGTATGCCTGAAGAGCGCACTATCTCCACCTTGCTGCAAAAATGCAGCTGTCAAGTTTGACTTCTGAATGATTAGTGTAAAGGCACACAAGTGGTGAATTGTATTGGAAAAAGAGTTGCAAAAAAGTGGGGACNCCATGAAGTTATGGCGAAAGCATCCTTAACAATGCGGAGGTGCAAACGTATGGGGAGCAATGGTAGTCCACGCCACCTTGATCTGCATGAATCTGTGGCTCTACTATCACATGAAACACTTTTAGCATCGGTAGAGAGTGCATGGCTGTCTATTAAGTGTGCACAAGTGTTTGAATCATATGAAAGATTGCAACTTACATAATGATATACATTAATCATGCTTTAGTATCTCAATAATAAACACTTGATCAATTCTTGTATGCAGTTTCTTGTCACGTTTCAGCTGTTTAGGGACTATGTAGTAACTAGTTTTTAGACTGAGTTTGGACGCCATTGATACAGTCTAAATGAGATTTTGAGATGCTATATGAATTTCAATTCAAATTGCAAATTGTAGTAGCTCCAAGTTTAAAATAAAACTACGTTAGAGAAAATTTGTTCAACTTTCCAGAGGGAAATGAGACCAACATATGGGAACATGGAGTAATAACGAAATTTCTTGCTTATAAAAGTTGATGCTAGTAAATACAACAAACAGGGTTATTTTTAATCTGGATTGTTGAGGACAGTGACTATCTTTTCTTGAGTTCGGATGGCATGAATCCATCCTTAATGGGATTTTAAGATGCTATATAAAATGCAGATCAGATTCCAAACTGTAGTAATTCTAAATCTAGAATAGAAATTTATTAGAGAAAAATTGTTGACTTTCAGAACGGAAAGGGTATAAACATATAGGAACATGGAGGAGTAACAAAGTTTCTTTCCTAAAAAAGTTGATGTTAGCAAATGGAAAGAAGCAAGATTATTTTAACCTGGTCTAGGGGAGGTTGAGGTATGGGTAACGACATTTTGGTGGATGGAGCGAAGTTGGAAATAGATGGAGGGGTGTTGTCTTTGCTATTAAGAGTCTACAAAAGAGGGAATGTTCCTTTTTGTTGCACTTGTTATCTTCAAAGTTTATCTGCTTACTACCCTGCTCTTTTGCCTATAAAACTTGGGGGCACTTACCTCACTCTCTGGTAATAGTAGTGGCATGACCTTCTTCATTATCAGAAAAAAGAAAGAAAGAGTAGTGGCTTGACCTTCTCTTGCTCTGAAAATGATCCCTCCACACCTGTAAGAGAGTACTTTGATTGATCTTTTGTCTCCGAGTTACCAGTTTGTATAAATTAATACCAAATCCCTCCTCTAACACTTTACTTTTGTATGTTATTACTCTTAGAAAACATAATTGTAGAACTTTATCTGCCTTGGCTCAATTCATCCTCCTTTTCCTGTGTGTTGTGCAGGGTCTCTAGATCCCCACGTTCAGCACATCATTCACCCTCCCCGAGGTATAACTTGTCGTATTTCTTGTGGCCTCCTACACATAGAATATCATTTGTTTAATTCTTTGGATTCTGTGCAGGAGATCAAGGTCAATCAGCAAGTCATTTTCTAATTCAAGGAGTTATTCTGGGTATTTTTTCCATTAAGCTCCTTTTTTTTTTTTTTTGAAATTGTCCCCCATTTGTTTTTAGATGATATGTATCCTCAGCTTTCAGCTTTTACTTTTGCTTTCACTGAAATGATGATGGCTTTATCTTTTAAAGTGAAAGGCGCAGGTCACGAAGTACATCCGGATCTCCTTTAGAACGGAGAGGTCGCTCACTTTCATCTGAAAGGGTATACCGCTCTCCACCAAGGCGCTCTGTTTCACCTCGTAGGAAGCATTCACCTCAACAATCTCTCTCTCCACCAAGACACAGGCAAAGATCAACCTCCCGAGTACGTCAAGGGTCACCTTCTGTTGCGCGGTATCGAAGACGTTCTCCATTCCGACGTAGGAGGTCTCCCATTCGATGTAGATCGAGGTCTCCCATTCAACGTAGATCGAGATCTCCGATTAGGCGTAGATCACGATCCCCTATGTGGCGTAGGTCACGGTCTCCAAGTAGACGCTCACCAGTGCGATATAGATCAAGGTCATCTATTAGATGTCGATCACCACTTCGGCGCAGAACACCGAATCCCACAAAACGTAGGTCCCCTTCTCCGGTGGGTCGGGGTTACCACCGATCTCCATTGAGTCCTCGAAGTTCTCTATCTCCAGCTCAACGAAAATCCTTCATATCTGGCAGGAAAAGATCCTTAACATCTGCCAGAAGGTCTATTTCACCTCAAGGATCACTTTCTCCCTCACCCATTTACCACAAGTTTCCTTCACCAATCAGAAAGAGAATATTGAAGAATGAAAGTTCACCAGTTCAATCTCCTCGGGGAAGGATAAGGTAGTGATACATATCAACTCTCTTGTTTTCTAAGACTTGTTACTGACGATTGTTGTTGTAACTCGCGAGCCCAGAGTTATTAGCTGCCTTGTATACCTATGCTTGTCTTGTGTTGTCTCTGATCAATGAAAATACTGGATTGCTTTGCTTCATAGATAGACTGCACAAATTTTAGGTGCATGGAATTTTTATGTCTTGCTATGCTTGATACACATTGTAGGAGCCGTGAAAAATACTCCCCTATTCGACATGCCCCTCCAGTAAAAACTGAGGCGCATAAAGGATCCAGATCATTGGAACGTAGACGTCCTATTTCTTCTAGGTCACCACAGAGGGACATATATGACCTTAAGGATTCACGAAAAAAAGAGTCGCTTTTGCCTCCTCGGCGACGGCGGTCACCATCTGTTTCAGAATCTCCACGCTCCAGATCGGCCTCAGAATCTCTACCAACAAAAAGGGAAAGGAGTCCTAGTGAAAATAGAGGGTATATGCTTTCTTTAATAATATTGTTAACACTGCTAGTGCTTCATGAATTTTATCTTTGAATCTTAATGTTGTATTTTGATTATTATAGGCCAAGGAGTACTTTGAACCAGAGGGAGAGAAAGACAATTGACACTGACAGCCCAAATCCCAGGAAATTGAGAGAGCACAGAGTTAGTTCTAACATTTCTGAGAAAATTGCAGATGAGAAAGAAATGAACCATTCAAGGTTAGTAATGGATAATGCGTCATTTAGAATCGGAGAAGTAATTTTGTCCATGGATATTTTAAAGTAATATATTATGTTTTCCTGATTTTTGCTGGATTGCTGTGGTTCAGGGAGGCCTTTGAGCATAAACCTAGGTCTTCAAGAAAAATTCCTACAACACCTGATCCAAATAAAGATCTTGGAAAGGGGCGGGATGAGGAAGAATTTTCTGAATTTCATAGCCATTCAGATCGCTTGGAGTCAAGAAAGCGAAATGAAGTGATGAAGAGGTTTGTTTACAACTGCTTTTCTACATTTTGGCAGCTTTAAATGAATATTTCCTGCATGTTTTATTTGTGGAGTAAAAGATGCTCAGTCTGTATGCTTGATAATGCTTGTGTATATTTACATGCCAGTGAAAAATTTTCCGCAATGATGGAGCAAACAAAGGAGCTGGATCAACAAAAGTCACCATCAATCCATAGACACTCTCATTCAGTTAAGAGGGAAAGGGAATCATATGCCGGGGAGAGCTTCAAAGCAGAGAAGGAAAACCTGTCTCATGCAAACTATATCAAGGGCAAAGAGCTACTTGAGTCAGAAACTCCCCTCACTTCATCAAGGAAAGCTGAGCAGAATGATCAAAGTGGTGATGATGGTTCTGGTTCTGAGGAAAGTGAAAAGCGTAGAGCTAAAGTTAAGGAAAAAAGAAAGCATAAGAGGTCTGGCAAATACGAGTCATCGTCAGATGATAGTTATGACTCTGATGTTGAGGGTAGGAAGGAGGCTAAAAGGAGGAGGAAAGAGGAGAGGAGATGGAAGAAAGAGGAGAAGCGTAGGCGGCGGGAGGAGAGACAGCGCAGAAAGGAAGAAAGGCATGCCCAGAAACTAAAATTGAAGTCAGCTAATGCCATGTCTTCGCCATCAGATACAGAGAGAAATCCTGATTGCCATGCTTCTTATGATGAGCATCTGAGGAAGGGGGATGTCGAGGAGTCAGAGTCCGTGCAGAAAAGGCTTGAGATTGAGCTGCGGGAGAAGGCTCTTGAATCTCTCAGAGCAAAAAAGGGCATCAGCCATTAAGATTCTTGCTGCTTTTGGACATTATTGAGCTGCTATTCTTGTCTTAATAGTCTTCTCTTTCAGCTTGCTTTATCTAACTAGAACTAAATGTTTACTATGGATATGTTTATGATATTTAATGTAGTCTATCTTTACCCCTGGCAGCTGAATTGCATTAAAGAGGGTTTCCTGAGCTAGTGTCTTGACATCAACTTTATGCTGACCTACCTGCTAAACATTCTGGTAAAAATTGTCTTCCCTTTCCTGGGAATGTATTTGTTTCCTAATCCACTGGAAATCTTCTTTTGTTGGCTCCTTATAGCCTTGACTGGCGTTCTTGTTTATTGGTCCTTTATTAACTACAAGATTGCAATCTTTATGTTAGAGTGTGTTTTTTGCTTGAAAGACGAATTTGAGTGATGTTACACTACGAAGAAATGCCAGGTTTAGGGCATTAGCTGATCCAAATTATTTATATTTGGTTTATTACCTTATCATGAAGGTTTTCAAATTTTCCCCTTCTATGATATTGTTTCTAAGTTGACTTTCTGGTTAATTGATAGATCATAATATTGTCCACTAGATGACCTCGTTGAGCAGACATGTGCAGCTCGATATGTGGATCTCCAATACAGGTGATGTGTTACCATCCTTAATTGGCTGCGTTAGATAGTAGGGTAGAATGCCTATTGTTTGGAGCTTTTACCCTTAAATGTAAACTTATCTTATTTAGGTCTCATGGTATTGAGTGCTGATTTACCTTGTCTGGCTGGCAGCTCGACTTGCTCTCCAGAATGTGATTTGCTTTTTATGATGATCTGAGTTCGTGTTCGTTTTGTCACTGTGTTTGTATCAGTAGTTAAGACAATACTGGTGCATTATATTGTTTCTTATTATCTTGCTAGTGTTACGGTGCTACTGTTTTTTTTTTTTTAAATCTTTCTTTGAGCTGAGTGTCTATCGGAAACCACCTCTCTACCTTCCCAAGGTAGGGGTAAGGTCTGGGCCTCAGACCCCACTTGTGGGATTACACTGGATTTTTTTCCAGACATTCTTGATATCCATATAAAGCTGTATAAGTGAACCTTTTATCCAACACCCCCACCCCCACACCCAACCACACCCAAAAAAAAAAAAAAAAAAAATTCTTCCTGCCTGCTTTATTACCTGGCGGATATGGTCTTCATGCTATTTGATAGTTCATCTAGGTAGTTTCATGGGTTATGCCAGGTTTCTAATCCTATCAGACTGGCTATTATCAAATTATTCCATGCATATAGATGTGTGCTTGTTTATATCAGGATAACTTCTTGCAGTTGCACTGTTTATACGATATGGAATGAGTTCAATTTGGATATCGCCTCTATCCGAGGCGCAACTTCTCCTTTACCTTATATTATTCTGAAGAAGCTAAGTTGTTTAGTATCATAAACATAAGCTAAAGCTTTTCTCTAGGATTCTAGAGTAGTGGAAGGGGCATGTAAAGGAAAGGTATGTCCAAGACTTCTTATGCTTTGATGGACAAATGGAAAGAGAGAGAACCCAGCTAAGGATGCTGCAATTTTCGTTTTTATTCAGACTCTATGGCATCCTTTTGGATGTCCGGTAAGAGATAATATTAGCCGTTAGATTATTGTGCCATGTCTGTAGGTACATAGTTCCTAATCATAGTCAAAATATTGTGCGGTGTGGTCCAGCATGAGGTTGGTCTTAGCGGAGTTCCCTTAATTGGCTAACAACCACCCAGTATAATCCCACGTGTGGAATCTGAAGAGGGTAGTGTGTACGCAGACCGTAATTGGCCGTATTTAATAAATGATGTGTCCTTTTTGTGTAAGCTTCAGCTAAGATTTACCGATATGGTACGATTTTGTACCAAATGCTATACAATAGTATAATATTAATAACTAGAAGTTTTACCATTTTGTCATATTGTTCTGTACCAAATTGCATTTTTAAAAATAATGTGGAAAAATATAGATAAATTATTACTGTCAGGTAGATTTTGATGAATAATTTAACAGATAAGTTGATTATAGATAACACAAAATCATGCTAATCTGAGTTTGATGAACAATTTCACAGAAAGGTAGTAAATGTAGCATAAATTTTACCAATCCGGTAGAGAATCTCTAAAGAGCAACAACTGTGTGCGCTTGTCTTGGGTCATTTTTAAATACCTTCAATTACAGGGCCATTCATGTCAATAAACCTGTCCTGATGCACCAAAAAGCTGAACCTACAATATTAGAGTGGGTAGGAAACCCAAAATAGTCAGCCTAGGCTAAGATACAGAAATTAGTAGTTGTTGCAGTGAAGAAATTGAGCAGGTTCTAATGATGTGGATAAGGATTCATATACCAATGTTTTCTATTAAATAGCGGTAAGATATGGCAGTTTTAGTGGAGAAATCATAGTTTTAGAACGCTAATGATGGTCAAATACGGTGAATAAAAGGCTTGGGGAGACGTCATTAACGAACAAAAACAATAAAGTTAACATCTTAATCCTCAGCTGGTTTTGGTCATTACACCCCCGGTTTTGGTGTAACGAGTGGTAAGAAATTTCGATGATTCAGTATTTTAAGATCATAACTTGATTACTTTTATGTTGACAGTCAATTTACTATTCTTTCCACCTTTTTCTGATATTGACCTCATTAACTAATATGGAGAACAATATTAGTATGTTTTTGTTATTTCTTAAACTTTTTGTGGTTTCTCAAATCAGACTTCAAGGTTAACAATAAATGTTAACTGAAATCTGTATTAAATTTTATATGTCGAAACTTTAGTTCTCCTAAATTCGTACTCATCAAAACCACTATTTGAACATGCGCGTATCCTAGTTAATTGGATTATGCAAATACACATACATTAAGAAAGAAGATAGCAAAGACCGTAAAAACCACAGGTACATCACAAGTGGCACTTAAATGTCCAAGAGCGAGTTGCACCACACAAGGAATATAAAATATGCAATTGACTACGGGTGTTTATATGAAAGAAAAATATTTTCTGGAATTTTTTTTTAATTTTTTCATATTTTGTCGGCTTAAATATTTTGAAAAATATATATGTTTCTCCAATTAGAGAAAATTGATTTCCCAATCAAAGGGAGGAAAATATTTCCCAAAACTATTTCTCAACCTTCCCCACCAACCTTCCACCCCACCCCCACTCCCACCCTAAGGGAGGAAAATATTTCCCAAAA